GGCTTTAACCAATTCGAAACGAAAAGGAAAACTGGAAAGAAAACTGAATTAATCGCCAAAAACGAAAATTCACATGATGACAAATGTGATAATGATAATGAAGATAAACAAATCAATTTCCTTTGTTCCGGATTATGAGAATAAAAGCAGGACAAATGGGAGCGGGAATGAATAATAAAATTGGAATAAGTAAATGGGAATTTAGCAATGGACATTCCACTAGATGGCTCTTCTTGTCTACTCTTGTGAAATGTTGCTTTTGTGAAGCGAGGAAAACTGGAGGAAAACCCTCGGAGCAAAGACGAGAACCGACCATGATTAACTCAACCCACATGTGAAGCCAGAATCGAACCCGGGCTATGATGGTGGGCGGGGAGTGCTCTCATCACTGCACCATCCCTGTTTCTTCAAACTGGAGTGGAAAAATTTCTAGCTATTCAAAAAAATGTACCAAAACTTTGTCATGAACGTGGATTTCTATGGATGGCGAACTTGTTTAAGTCACTAAATTGTTACCGTCTTTGTTTTTTTCGCAGACGTACTCGCAGCGCTGGTCATTAATACAAGATATCAAGGAGTTTGTTTGCGGGGCCTCAAATCTGACGCATACCTTCCGGTTTTGTTTCACTCTAAGATCGTTGAAATAGTAAGTAAAGCAAAGAAATTCTAGTTTAAACTAGACTGAAAATGAGCGAAGCAATGATCCTAGCAGGTGTACGGCAATTAAGAGAGAATGACTCAGAATCACCATTAAAACCAATCGTAACAAATCACTCGCGTTTTCCCGCGCTCCAGACAGCTTGAATTCTCATTGGCTCCCTATAATATTTTCCTCTACCCTTTTTGGCTGTTAGTATCTAGTTTTTATTTTACGATACCCATGGAAATGCTCTTACGGTTTTGAGAACATTAATTGTAAAGAATGGACTCATTACTTATTCATTGCTGTTTTTCATGGAATCTGTTCTCGCATACTTCTGTATATCCCATAGTGAAATTCCTCCTCCATTCTCCGGAGAAGGCAACATAAGCCCAGATTCTCCTGGTGTAACTAACTTTTGGATGCGACCGGTTTTGAATCTGAGGATTGATCCAAACCAGCTGTCCCCAGGAAGTGATACTGTCAGCTCCCTTTCACTTCCTCCGGGAAACATCACAAGCGAGGCAAGTAATAAACCAAAGTAAAAAGGCCTCCGTGAATTCTAAAGTACGAGGGAAACTGATCATGTCTGAAAAAAATCCTTTTGAGGGAAATGACCTCAAGGTCAGATTTCAGTTGGGATCTTTTTGTTTATTATCTCAATCCCAGGGGTATCGACCAAAAAGAAAGTTTTCACTTTAATATGCTCCTATCTTTAATAATAATAATATAGGTACCAATAGGAACCATGGGATATCATTTGGTCAGTTTTTATACTCAATTCTGAAGCTTATCGAATCCACTCTAATTTTCTTTAAAATGACCTTTTTTTTGAGAGCATTCATCATCCAACATCCATCTTATCAAGCGAAATTTAAGGAGGAAAGCTTTGACTCAAAGAACACCTCCTGTTGTTCTCTCACTAGATGAATTTCAGTCGCGTCCTTGTTCCTCCTCAACGTTTCAACTGTGCTTGGATTGAATATGATGTAAGTCAAATAACTTGAATTATAATTGGTAAAGAGCTAGATCGTTGGTGCTGAGGGGGGAGGGGTAGTATACGACTTTCATTCTTTTATGCGGCAAATTAGTGGCCAGTTGTCAAAGTTACAGAAACTTTCCTTAGTTAAATCAGTTAAATTTATTTTTCAGGTAAATGGAACATTAAAAATCACAGCCAGGGAAGTTAGAAATGAGGAAAAAGAGAGGAAAGTTATGGTTAAAACTCACCTGGATCTCGTTCTCAGCAGCATTTCTACAGTGGTTGTTATAATTTGCTTAATGCTGCTTTCCTGCCTAAGGTGCTCAGTCAGTTTGATACTCAGAAGTGTGACTAATATGCCTATCAATTCGAAGTTTCAGCATCCCCCGGGCACCATACTGGCATTTGAATGTCATCTATGGCCGGGGAAGGGGAGTTTGAACTTTGCTTGGGATGGGGTGGGGCATTTGAACGGTAAGTATCAAGTCTTATTGACGTAATACACGTTTTTCAAAGGAGGAGTTTAAAGGTAAAGAGTCTGCTTTCGTGAGCTTTTTCGAGTTTGGCTCGGGGGGGAGGGGGGTTTGAATGAGACGATAATCTTTGAAAGTTCAAACACCCGGAAGGGATATTGAAGCTTCGAATTGATCTATGCATAACACAGTAGTCGGACTGCCTGACTGACGACTTACTGGCGGACTGACTTTCCGGACTGACGATTGACGGGCGGAATGACTCAGCTATCAGCTATCTGACTAACTAATTGACTGACCGGCTGGCTGGCCGTCTGACTGATTGACCAGCTGTTGGACCGACCGACTGACTAACTGACCAACTGACTGACTGACTGACCAACTGACTGACTGACTGACCAACTGACTGACTGACTGACCAACTGACTGACTGATTGACTGACTACCGTCTGACTGACGGACTGGCTAACTGACTAACTTACCGACTAAAGGACTGACTTGTTCGCCTACTGCCTTACGTACAAAAGTGGACTGACTTCTGACTGATAGACCAGTAGTTTATATATATATATATATCTCTGACAAGCCGAACTTTAGTCTGCAACTGAATTACTAGCAAAAACATTAATTGAAGATGAAGTACCGACTATAAAGCTAACAGAGTGACCTCTTTTCTAACACAGGATAAGAAACTCCGAGAGAATATTTGTTCATAAAAACCTTTTAATATCCATATGCCTGGTTTACATCCTGATGATCTTCGACTCGTGTATTTTTACAAACAGGAAGCAGACACCGGTGAGTTTTACTGATCCTGATTCTTATGAAAAAATCCCGGTATAAGAAATGTAAGTAATGGCACGAGCAGGGAAAAGTCGCACAGCCCAGCGTATGGCCCCATGAGAGGCGAGGATGAAATATGTAAGAAGAAAGGAAAAACGAGAAAGACGGCAGTCCTGCGCATAAATGTGTATCGACTGGCAAGGTCGGGTCAAACGGGAAAATATTTGGCTCTGCGGGTCATGCCGTGTGGACCAAGCGCAGCGAAGTCCGTAAGTTGTCACCATGAGCCAAATATTTCCCGTTCGGCCCTCCCGCTCAGATAATAAGAACACACTGTTTCCGTAATAGCTTGTAGCAAATCTTGCAGGAGCCCATATTCCTTGATTTATTTGAATTTTTTTTCAGCTTGAAAAACCATAGTAACATGGCTGTTTGATTTTAAGTACCTATACATTTCTTTCTTTTTTTCTTCTTCATAATATCGTAGAAATTATGTTCAGCTATGGCTGTCCTCCAACATATAACGCACACCGCTATTTTCACGTGGATGTTGGTTGAAGGAATTCATCTTTACATCAAGCTGGTGAAAGTGTTTTCAGTCCACAAGTTCTACATCACATACATTGTCATCGGGTGGGGTAAGGCTCTGTTTACAGCTTTTATCATCTCTCTCATTCAGTACATGCACTATGATTGTTTAACCCAACGGACCCTAGCGGTCCATCAATCACTGCAACGCCCTCTAAACTTAAAATATTTTTTGAATTTAAATCTTCCCCCTCTTTTTAAACCCAGAGTTTTATTAACTATCTTACTAACCTCGTCTTCTCGGTCTGTACCGTAAGTTATGGAACCTGTTTCATTTTTTTGGCTCCAATCTATAGCCCGTGCTTTTAGCGCTTGGGCCAAAAGTTCGAGCGAAAAAAACTCGGTTCGTAACTTACAGTAAAGACCGTGAGAACGAGGCTACTGAGAGGAATGTAACTTAAATGCTATACCTCAGTCTTACCTTATATGATGTAGTGTGTGGTGTTATCATGGCTTTTCTCTTTCTATGGTGTCTGA